CCATACCCCAGCTTTATGACAAGGTGAGGTTGTATAATCCCAGGAAGACCAAAGGGAAGTCTCCTAAGTTGTCTTCTTCATGGGAAGGCCCATATGACATAGTGGATCGTTTCTTAGACGCGACTTTCCGGGTAAAATGTGGTCGGCGAGGTAAACCAAAAGTGGTGCATGCCAACAGGCTTTGGCGTTATCACAGTCCAGGACATTTCAGTTGGGACGAAGTGGACCACAGAACAAATGACGCTGCTGAAGACGTGACACCTGAAGAAGCCACCGTCGAAGAAGAAACTCTACTCAGTTTTGAGAAGGGAAATGATGAAGCTCTTGATGAAGTTACTACCACTGATGTGACTGTTACCGATGACAGGACATTTCCTGATGAAGTAGATGAACCCCACGTGAAGCAGAAGCCAACGAGACGGAGACCAGTACGGAAGAAGATACGTCCCGTAAAATTAAGAGACTTTGTTGAATTGTAATTTTGTGTTTGTAATTCTGTACATTTTAATTAAGTTATTGCTATTGGTTTATTATATGTGGTTATTGTTCGGGACGAACAATATTAAGGAGGGGGCAGTGTTGCGTCAGCGAGTCACATGACTAGTGTGACGCCACGTTTCTAGAACTATCCCGTGCCTTGGCGAATGCTCTAGTATTTGCTTGATATAGGGTAGTCTGGTATATAAAAGAGGGTGACAACGTGACGGGAGAATAATGTAATGTGTGTGTGAAGATAGTGAGTAATTGAACTGCAGTCAGAAGTATTATTGACGTTCGTTGATATAGCGTTTGTGTTCAGCGCGATTGTTGAAAATAAGTGTATCGTAAAGTTGTATTCGGAAAGAATAAACCAGTTTTATTAAGTAAAGAACTTGTGTCGCTAAAGTTTCGTCGGAACGCGTTACGGAAAGTTAATTAACAAACGGAGACGTAACAATATTAATATCTAGAATCAACGTCCAAAAAAAGCCCCCAAACTGACGCAGTGCGAGAAATCTTTCTTACGTACTCTTGCAACCTTAAACACTTTGAAAAAATCCTCTTGATATAACATCCTATACATACAACAGTGCGAGAAATCCTCTTTTCATAATATTCCTAACTTAAAACATTTTAATAATACCCTTATATAATCCTCCAATGTTACATGGCTTCAGAAAGCCTCCTTACCTAACCCTCCAAAGTTCCTCAGTTTGAGACATCCTCCTAACATAATCCTCAAACTAACATAATTTGATACATCCTTTTAGCATAATCCTTCCTCCCAACTTAGATAATTTGATACATCCTCCTAACATAATCCTCTAAACTAATATAGTTTGACCTCCTTATCTAATCCTCCAGTTTGAGAAGCCTCCCCCCTTACGTAATCTTCCAAATTTACAAAGTTTAAGTAAAAATCCTTTGGGGGGGGGATTTTGAAAACTATGAGAAACATTGTCCTCCAGAGAAAAAAACAATCATCGAAACATTTGCATAATATTTCAAATCAAAATGTAAATGATGAACATATGGTTGCTTTCATTTTAGCAAAACATTAAATGTGTGTAAAGTAAAAACGTGATTTGAAATATACATAAGAACAAAAAGTTAAGTTCTGAGTATTTTTACTTTTAAAAATTAATTCAAATACAGTCAAGCAGTCGTTCTTGGACTTCAACATACATATGCAACACCCAGTGTAAGAATTGCTATACTTTTTCGAATTAATTATACTAAATACAAGAATAGTAAACTCAATTTTGTGAGCTATTTAAAACTCACATATTAAACTTACCCTTCACAAGTTATAATGCCATAGTGAAGACCCGTGGCTTTATCCTCACAAATCATACACACCATTGGGTTATCCTCTTCCTCCTCCTCGCCTTCAGGACCACGAGATGTAGATGGAGTCGCTGCCATGGTAGTAGACTCCTCTTTGCGGTTATATGATACACTAAGATTTAAAGCCTGAGAGTCTGGTAATTGTGTAGGAGACGGAGGGCCTGGTGGTTCTGGTTGCCAAGATGCTGTGCTAGTGCTTACTAAGCTGCTGCTCCGACTACGAAACTGAGGGAGCTGATCCTCCCTTGGAGTATGAGTTGATGCTGATGTAAACTGTATCCTTTGCACATTTGCCCCGTAATGAAGAGTGGAAGAAGGATAGCTCCCTTTAATAGGAAACTCATTATTTGAACCAGTACTAATCCCGAATTGGCCAATAGATGTCACACTGGAAGTTATGGAAGATGTAGGTGTCGAAGTGTACACGGAAAGTGGTTGGGATCGTGAGGAAAATGGACCACCTAAAAACCCTGTCCTTTCCATAATAGACACGCTATGCCGATGACTTAAATCAGTTTCGCTACTTAACGTGCCCGTAGGGTCTGTGTGGTCAGATTGACATTCTTGAAGCCCCTGAGATGGACTCTGACCAGTCCAGATCATTGTTTTGCCGGGACCAGAGCCTGGAATATCTCCCATTAGTAATGGCATTTTGTACTGCGACGCTACTCTTAACAAAGATAAGCCATGCTGTTCTTCCTGAGGCTGCTCCTCATTGGCAATAAAATGATGCCTGTAGGCTTGGGCACTAGATGGTGCCCATAGATGAGGATTCAGGTGAGGAAGCTCTTCCATGAATCCTCTTTGTCTTATTGGTGTGCTTAAATCTAAACCCCGTTCCATCACAGATTCTCTTTGTCCTTCACGTTGAAATTCAGTACTTTCTATTGTTCTATCATCAACTCCTCCACAACCGAAAATATTAGTGCCTTGTGTTCGTTGGGCACTAGTTGTCGACGTTTCTCTTGCTCCATCCATCTCAGAACTGATCGTTCGTTGGATGGAGGAGTGTGAACTTTGCGTTGGTGATTCTTTCATGGACTCTTGTTCTTTATTTTCCAGCATACTTGTGTCAGGTTGTTCAATAGGAGACTTTCTGTCAAGACCTTCGGAATGGGTAATCGACGACGTTTCAACTCCTTCATCTGATCCTAAAGAGAAATCACTGGTAAGGTGGCTCAGTTCTCCGTCCTTCAAGACAGGCTCGAGAGTGGCTGCACTGTCGGATGAAGAGTTGCTAGGATCAGGATTTATTTCACCGTCACTGCTGCATCTTGAATCTACTTTACGACGCTTCAGTTTGATGTCGTGGAACAAGCTCATCTTACGCATCCACTCCAGGAGAAGCGGAAACATGCTTCCTGAGAAATAAAAATACTTTCAGTTACCATGCAAAACACTTTTGCGTAATTAGTTCTTCAATCCGAAGTCATTATTGAACAAACACGTAAAAGTAACTATCTCATTTACTAACTATGAAAATAGGTCAAAGATATTAAAATAGCTTTTTGTGTTTTGGTTCATATACATCACTTATATGAGTGTATATATATGTGTGCGTGTGTATTCTAGAGAAACCGTCCACAAATCTATAATATCTTAAGAACATGGATGATACGTCTGACAAAATGTCTTAACTTAAACCATTTATCTTTGAATAAAGAAACCAATTTCTACAGCTTATCTTTGATAGGTATTGCGAAGTGTTGACAAAATATTTTGCAAACTGGAACTGCACTATTTCTATATTTCGAAATGAAAAAAAAAAAACTGACACTTTGCGTATATATTGATTTCAGCCCTTGAATAGCAGGGAAGGAGATCATTACCAACAAATCATTTTAAAGATAGAATAAGGCGATTTATCCAAGAAGATAAAACAGAAATTATCGAAGCTTTTTAATACCGATAAAATTGAAAATAAAGGAGTAATAGTGTTTAATACTTTGCAATTTTTATCTAAAGCAATATTATGTTTTTTTTCATATGACGTTCCAACAGGATGTCCTTACTGAGTAAAAAAAAACGGAATTTCAATAAAGCTCGCCATGATTTCATTCGTTGTTTATATTTTTAAAAGTAATGTGCCAACAACTAATCAATTATAAATTTTTTGTACACTATAATTCACAATAAAACCTTCGTATTATTAGCATATTTACAGAACAATGAATATTGTTGTCTTCTAAGAAGTGCTTTATGTTATTATTACGAAATTAACATCAAAACAACTTTAAATACCTTCAAGGTTGTTTGCCTTGACTATGCGCGTCTGTTTTAGTACATTTGATTGTTACGGCAACAGTTAACTCGTTTGTGTTTGTTTTTCAATGTGTTTGTTTGTTTTAGAAATTTCGTATAAAGCTACATAGCGTATATACATCTCTAGTTTGGAACTGATAAAGGGAAAGCAACCTGTAAACAGTAACCATCGCCAACTCTCAAGCGACTTTACTTTGACGAATAGTGGAATATGAGTGTCACTTTTATCACGTATCTACGGCCACGAAGAATGAATACGTTTTGCAGAAACGAGACGCAAACCATGAACCCTCGAATTCATAGTCCAAAGAAGATAACCACTATGCCTAGCCTGGCCATAACATAGTCTTACTTAAATATAAGAATAAAACCACAGAGTATTGAATGAATACATATTATGTTCGGAAACTGATATATATGTAGATAGATAGATACCAATGTATTACGTCCTTTACCTTTACAAGTGAGTTTTTTTTAAGTCCACTTTTTTTTAAAATGCCTCACTTATGATGCAACAGTGAGATTTGACAAATTTTTCGATATTTTATCCACCGAATCATACTATCAAAAGCCGTTTTAACACCCACTGACCTTTATTCTTTTTTAAAGTAAATAAGCATGATCATGTTTATTTCATAATCATGGGCGCTCACAGAAATATTTTCATGGGGGGGGGGACATGTATGTAGGGGATCAACTTTTACAATGTAAGTCAACAGACAAAAAGAATATATGTTATGTGTGCTTAATCATAAACATAAGCTCTCGACAACAATTAAAAGTAACTTTGATTGTCCCGAATTTTGTTGTGAGTATGACTTTGTTTGTAGGTAAATTTGGTTCTTTATAGCTGTTATGAGTGTATATGTGTTAACTACAAACTAAACAAATTGATTTAGTTAAAATAAGTCTATTAAACTAAAAGCACTGGAAGATTCAACGCTAGTAGAGGCCCTTCTTGATTTTGCTTTTTTACGAAGATTCTCTAGGGACGAATCAAAGCGCCATCTGCTTTTTATTGCTAAATTATCAATAGATATTTAGTATTACCATTAATTTAAAAAATGCATGAAGAAATCGAGATTAACAACATATATGTTTATGCCATTTAATGCCTTATCCATCATCATGTAACTCTATCCAAAAATCACTGATGATGCATCAACATCTAAAGTGTCCCAATACAAACCGTCGTCGTGACCACGAGACTCATAAAAAAATGGCATATCTACATCCGTTTATGAAACAATTTGTATAAATTTTAGGCAGTATTTATCACGTATTATTCAAAAGTTCAGAGACGAGTCTTACACCATAGTTAATTTTATATAAAGAAAGGTTAAAGCACAACTATTTACCACATAATGACTGCGCTTATATTATATATATAAATATATATATACATATATATGAAGATCTACTGAGATACTTAAGTGCTAAAAATATAACGAATGATACTATTTTTAAAACCCTACTGTTTATAATTTCTAGTAGTGTTTATACACTGAAGCGCTAGCTATTTCGTCTTAGCTAAAAAGTTATATTCATTTAATACGAAAACAACTGTACGAAGAGAGCACGAGAGGGGGGTGTAATCGTTTTCTTTTCAGCTGAAATACTACGTCAAAAAACTGATACCGCTCAAGAGGCTGGAGCTACTCATGCCATTCAACAAAACTCTTTCACTACGCAAAACTGGGCCGATGAGTTCAATTACCTTCTGTAGCTGCGCGCTTCCGGGTAGAAGCTAAAGTAGCATCTCGTACCAGATTCGAATTTCTCGCTTTTTCTCATCCCGACATTACCCTAAACTAAATTCTCGCCATTTAAAATTTATGACACTTTAGATAATGTTATTTGCATTAATGTTTTCTTTTGTGTATACGTGTGTGTGTGTGTATTTGCGTGTTGCTTATGGCTCATTGTATCATACACGTACCGTTTTTGTACTTTTATTTGACTGTTAGGTCTGTAGTGAGTTAATTATGTAATGTAGATATACATGTCCACGCTATAATTAAGGTGCTTCATTATCAATTACTTATAGAAAATTTGAATAAACAATTATTCTGTCAACGTTTTAAACATGAAATACAGTGACATCTGTCGGCACACTATAAATGTAAAGCTGACAGAAAGAGAGTTGTTACATCATGAGGGCAATGACCGCGAGCGAGTCTGCTAGCTGCTTAATCTATGATGCGCGAAGGTTGTGTATGTCACGTGACAGGGAATAAAGTGTGGTGATAAAATTCTCTGGTAAATTCATTAAATTATTAGTAGAAATAAAGAAAACAAAAACAACATTGGGGGAAAATATCCTACTAACCTAATATAGTTACGTTTAACTTTCGCTATCTGAACCCGTTCATCTAGATCCACTAGAGTGCGAGCTGCCTAACGTGGGTTTTGTCACTGCTTGCTGTATTACTCACACAAAGTTCAATGACCCATAGGGTGTTGAAACGGAAGAACAAGGCTCACCAGCCAATGGTGTACTTTGTCACGGAACTCTATACCTGGGCTGAAGACCACCAGTCTGTTGACATATGACAAGCTAATTGCGAAAGGTTTTCCTATGAATATGTTGCTAGCGAAGGTAAGCAATTCAAGGATTAGAATTAAATATCGCGCAATGATAACTACATGAAAAAAGTTCTAGTGGAAATTTAAGTTGGATCTTCATGACTTAACGTCTTGCAAATCTACAATTTCCTTCACTTATCACATAAGTCCCACTAAGGGCATTGACCTTGTCAAAATAATAACTGTCAAAATTTACCAAGCAAGGGCAAGGCAGTGAAATCGACAGAGGGCAGCACGTAAGTTATGAAATAATGATTTCATGTGGTGATGACCTGAAACTCTCACAACTTTCTACGATTAACACACAACAGGTTTTGTTCTGAAAATCAGGTCACTGTAAGACTACTGCACCCCTCAACCAGTTTCAGTCATATTCCTTCTTGTAGAAGGAAACTGTTACTTTTATTATTATTATTAGGCCGGTAGAAAACAGGACTAACAACACGGAAACATTTTGAAGAGTTGTCGTGCGCGACTACGGACCGGCCAAACCGGTTCTGCTACAGGCAGTGGAGCAGTGGGCCAGATTTCATGCAACGACTATCATCCAAAAGCTGGGTCGTTGAATGAGAAGGCGGTTCAAACAGGTAACAATGAGTAACACAAACCTAACGCCCGATACTTTGGATCTGTGGTAAAATACATCACTCACTACCAGCGCCGATCTTATTTGATACGATCATTTTAGATTGTCCAGAAAGTTTAGTAAATAAAACATACATATCTAAGTGTATGAAACAACCGTAACAGGTACATATGTATACTTATTAAACGACTTTGTTACTGTCCTATAATTTCTTTATTTTTTTTTTTATCTTTTACCAAAATATGTCATTGTAATAAATATATTTAAAAAAAAAAACATTCCTCTAGTGCACGCACTGGCGATTAGCCAATATCTCAACTTAAGTAAGAAACGAACTTTGATCTGGGTGGTAAATCAGTTTGTTGAAGGTCAAAGTGTTCAAGTAAATAAAAAAAACAAGGTCTTTAACATTCACTCTTAGTCATAATAATACGCATTACATAAGTTGTTACATTCCACTCGTATAGAACGGTAGATAAACTTTACTTAACTTTCAACATGACTCAGTGATTATTACGTACGTTTAACTATAACAAATACAGAAGAACAGTTTTCATGTAACACTCATAAGAAACAGGCTTGAGTAATGAAGCACATTATACTACTGTAATAATAGGTTGTCAAACAACGATACGGTGATTTATTTTTAGGTGCACATACTACATGTTTCGATAGAACATTGTTTTGTTGAAATATGTAGTATGTTCCCCCAAAATATAAATCACTTTATTATGCTTATAAATCGTTGTTTGACAATTTATTAAGAAACAGGCTCTCCATTTTTGTTGTTGTTCTCTCCATTAAAACAATACTTCGAAAATGATACGTCTAAACAAAAAATATTCGGTATCAAGCGAAGAGATGTAACAAAAATACTGGGTATCAAGCGAAGAGATGTAACAAAAATACTGGGTATCAAGCGAAGAG